GCGCAGAAGGGATTATGTGTCCCCAGGACAGCTTTTTGATGGTGAAACCAATACGAAATTTCGATTTTCAAATAGCAATCTATTTTAAAAATTCCATATATAGATGTAGTTAAACTTAGCTTATTTTAACCAAATTTTGGGTTTGATATTTTTAACACTGTTTTTAATTTCTGTCGACCCGTTAACGAAATATTTCACTTTTAAAGCTTCGGTAGGGGAAGAGTAGTGCAAACTGCAGAGCATAATTATTTTTGTAGTGTCACGGCACGGTAATGTAATATTTTGGAGCTGTTCATTTGTCCCCCCCCACCCCTTTGTCCCCGAAAAAAAATCCGAAAAATCAAAAATATTATAATTTATAACATATTCATACAATACTACGTTAATTTGTATAATTCGATACAGTAAGTTTCCATCCGTTTCCTCTACATACAATTTTCATGTTTTTTAGATTCTGAGTATACTATTTTGTTATGATGCGGGTGTTTTTTCCTATTTGTTAAAAAAATGTTCTACCGGATATCTTGCTCTGGTCGTCAGCGTGAAGGGTGGTTTCTGGTAGTAAATTTTGTCTTGTTAGTGGATTAGAAAGTCATTTTTCAATTTTTCTTGTCGTTTTCTTAATAAAAATCAAATGTTGGAAAAACGGGAAAATGTACGCAATTATTATTTATGTTTTATTTACGATTGTTTTTTTCCATCGGGTTAGAAACAATTATGGAAACCTGACGTTTTCACAGAATATTAGCCCATTATAGACGTGACATAATTTTCAAAACATTCTGGGATTTGTTTACAATTTTATTATTGTCCTATTTGACCTATTTGATATTTTCGAGATTTTTGCAGTTTGTATTTGTTTTCACATGGACGAAGTTCTTTTAGTCCAGCTTTTTTATTTTGTAACTTTGTGATTTTCTGTCAATTTATCATCATTTTGTTTTCTAAGTTTAATCGGTTCTAAAATTTCCCCTAATATTATTCTATTTCGTAAGGTATTTTGTCTTTATTTCAGTCCGACTTAACTCTCGGGATATACCGACACATAATTTTGAAAAATAATCGACGGGTGAAAAAATAAACGCTCTTCGCATAAACGAACTGAAACGTAAACCAAAACATATTCAAATAAGGTATCGACGACGACACGCGGGAAAAGCAATGGAAAAGTTAATTTTTCGTTATTTGCTATATTTCTCTATCCTCCGCCTATATTTATCTTATCTCTTTCACTCGTTCTCTTTCGTTCTCTCTCTCGTTTTGTTTTTGGATTCAACTCGGTTATCGTTGGATGGCGACGGTGGCGGTGGCAACGACAACGACGGAAACACACATATCCTCGCACACGGCATAGGGACGGAGAGAGGTACTTCGCAGGGGCGGCGGCGGCGGCGGCGGCGGCGGCGGCGCACCAATTCGGCACATCTGGCGGCGAAGACATCTCAAATTTACGAGTAACCCGGTCGGTTTTCATTGGCAGCAGAAAAAGAGTCCGAAATGAAAACGCCGGCTTTTCCCCTACTGCAGTGCTCCCCCACCTCACCGATCACAGACCCGAACGTCATAAACCCCGCTCCTTTCGCCACCGACCACATAGAAATATAACAATAATATTACGTTCTCCGCGCGCGTCCGCTTATCAACACGAGTACTTTACTCCGCGTGTCAGCACACACACATATTCCGCGAAATCCCTTGCACCAATACGCGCGTTCGGCGACTGTGCGCGACCGACCGGATGTTTTAATGGCCGAAACTCGAATTTACATTTGNCCCCCGTCACCGCCGCCGCCACCGTCGTCGTATTATTATACGCGCGCTCGATAATGTACATAATAATATTTCATAATACGACCGAAATAATAATAATAATAATAATAATAATAATATTATTATTTATTATCGTCACAATATTTGGGCCGGTGGCGCTTTCGTTACTTGTAGTAAAACGTTAAGAGCTCTTGTTAACGGCGACGGACAACGGTCCGTTTTCTACAACGGACCGTTATCCGTTGCACAGTGTTGCATAGATTAGTATATTTGATTGTTAATGCACCGGACAACCATCCGTTAACTGATTAACATCGGATCGCCGTACGTTGTCCCCTCGGTACACCGGACGCCGGCACGTTGCAGTGAACCACGCTAGTCTATACGAGTGTGTTGACAACGCCGGTATCCGCTCCGTTTTTTTTCAATTCTCAATTTAAAATCAAACTTAAAACCTATGAATATGGATATTGATATCGATATTGAAATGTTGATTTCCCTGGTTGAAAATAGACCTGTGCTTTGGGATAAAACTTCAGAAAGATACAAAATTAAACAGCTTAATTTTACGGCATGGATGGACATCTGCAAAATGATACATCCAAGTTTTGATACATTATCTGATAAAGAAAAAAACGAATTTGGTAAGTTTACATTAATTATTTATTCATTATTATTTATTATTTATTATACAAATATAATATTTTTCCCTATTTTCGTTAAATATACTGATTCTGCCACGGTAATCTCCCTTCTGGTGACACAAAGTACTCAGCAAATTTATTTCTAATCATATTTGATGTTAAGCTACCTCTTACCGAATTTGAACGAGGTAATTGGCGTAGATCGGAGTTTAGATCTTCAGTAGTTAAATCGCTAGATATACTATTAATAATTCCCTCTTCTTTGTGAATAAAATTTTGCAACAAACAACAAGTCTTTACTATATCAACTGCTAAATCCGTAGATACATTTAATGGTTGATGTAAAATTCGCCATTTATTCGCCATTATAACAAATGTACATTCAACATACCGTCTTGTCAAACGGTAGTTGAATGTACTTTTTAATTCATCGAGTTGATGACCATCAAACGGTCGAAGTACATGTTCATGTATGGCAAATGCTTCATTACCAACGAATACGTATGGTAGATCACAATCAGTTCCTAGTTTATTTGTAGATGATGGTGTGTTCAATCTATCATTTAATAAGTTTTTCCAAAATTGTGTTTGTTTGAATACCACTGAATCACATTCTTTCCCGTATGCACCAACATCGATAAAAATATAATTATAGTTAGTGTCTGCCACGGCCATTAGTACGATGGAAAAGTAGTGTTTGTAGTTTAAAAACATTGATCCACTTTGTTAGGGTTTTATGACTCTAATATGCTTACCGTCTATGGATCCTAAGCATAGAGGAAAATTTGCAGCACTTTCAAAATTATTGGCTATCATTAACCAGTCGTCCTTGGATGGAATTTTCATATATATATTACACAATTCAGTCCATATTGTTGTACATACTTCTCGAACGATATAGCTTATTGTTTTTATTCGGATTCTAAATGTGTATTGAAGATCTGTAAATGTACTTCCTGATGGCAAGAACCTGTAAAAATAAATATTTTTAAGTTTTAATCTATTTGTTTTTAATTTTAAGAAAAAATGTTATAAAAAAATGGAATAATGCAAGAGATAATTGGATGAGATGTGATAAAAAAAATAAAGAGTACAACAAGTCAGGTTCAGCAGCGAAACCTGTTCAAAAATACAAGTTTTATAAGCAAATGCAGTTTTTAAATAAAATTGTAGGTCATCGACCAACAGAAACAAATATGCCACTTGCTGAAGACGTCGAAGAAAACTCAATTATATCTGAAAGTCAAGTTCAAAAAAAGAAAATGAAGACACCAAATGGTAAAAGGAGCTTTTCTTCGACTGCTGAACCTTCGCCAGAATCAATCGACAGTCTAGACACAGCTGAAAGTCAAACAGCCGTTTCCGATTACGATTTCGATTTTTCAAAACCACCAGTTTTTTACAAATCATTAATTAATTAATTCATTGCTAATAATAATTAAGAATAAATAAT